ATTTTTATGGGATAACTTAAATTTCGCCGACTTTAACCAAATCTAGGTTTGGATATGCTAGGATAGGTTAGGTAAGGTTGCGTAGGGTAGGATGGAATAGGAGAACATGTAGGTAAAAAAATGGGCTTTGGCAATGCTATGATACAGAACATTTGGATATATTTGGTGGAAATTGCCTTAAATTAGGTCGAATTTATGTGGGATAGCTTAAATTTCGACGACTTTAACCAAATCTAGGGTTTGGATATGCTAGGTTATGTTAGGTAAGGTTGAATAGGGTAGGATGCAATAGGAGAAAATTTAGGTAAAAATGGGCTTTGGCAGTGTTGTGATACACAACATTTGGGGATATTTGGTGGGAATTGCCTTAAATTAGGTCGAATTTATTTGGGATAGCTTAAATTTCGCCGACTTTTACCAAATCTAGGTTTGGATATGCTAGGAGAGGTTAGGTAAGGTTGCGTAGGGTAGGATGGAATAGGAGAAAATGTGGGTAACAATGGGCTTTGGCAGTGTTGTGATACACAACATTGGGGTATATTTGGTGGAAATTGCCTTAAATTAGATTGAATTTAGGTGGCAGTGCTTAAATTTTACCAACTTGAACTAAATCTAGGTTTGAATATGATAGGTCAGGTTAGATGAGGTCGTGTAGGGAAGGACATATATATAATATCTTAGGGGTCATGAGCTAGCATGTTTATGAAATAGTGTAAATTTTCCTATTTGGGGTTCGAGCTATATGGCCAACTCATGTAATGTATGGACAGAGGTGACATAGGCTTGTATGTGAGGATATGGGATGCTCATATTTAGTTAGTTTAGCTTTTGCTAGGTTAAATTTAGTCAAATTTGTTTAGTATAAGTATATTTTTTTATAGATTTAGATGAATTTAGGTTTTAATAGGATGCATTTTTGATAAGATATAGCAAATTTGCTTAAAATTATCATAGAAAATATTGACTTCACCTAACCCTACCTGCCCTAACATAACTAAGGCTAGAACAAATAAGTCTGTTAGATGGTTTGCATAAATATATATGGGTGGCCTGATTGGAGAGGATGTGACAAGAAAGGTATTAATAAGACATTAAAAACAATGGACATATGTTAGATGAATAGTTTAGCACTAATAATGTTGAAATATTAATGGAAAATGAATGTGTTTTATATTGAGCTCATCGAAAGTCATATGTACCTTTTTTATATGTGAAATTCTGACTTTTGGGGAGTTGGTTAAACTCAGCATATTGTAATTAATGTCCTAAATATACTTAGAAAAATATCATGCAAATTGTGTATTGTTTGACCCAGTTGGTTGTGTTTGTATTTGTACATATATTGCACAATTAATATACTTGTGTATTAATTGTGCAGATTATGTATTTTGCATAAGTTGTATGATTATTGCAATTATGTATTGATTATATCTCTATAAATTGTGTATTGTTTTGTGCAAGTCGTATGTATTAGTTGTATATGTATTTGTGGAAATTTTCTAGTTGTGTATTTAATGAATATGTGTTAGTTATGTATTGTTCATATTTTGGTAAGTTGTGTATTGATTATATTTTTGAGCAAGTTGTATAAATGTCGCAATTGTATTTGTGTAAATCGTGTATTTATGCTAGTTGTGTATTTTCATATTTGGGGTAGTTATGTATTGTACGTATTTGTGCTAGATATGCATTTGTGCAAGTTGTGTAATAATTATGAGAGATGTGTAATATTTGTGAAAGTTGTGTATTAATTGCGCATGTTGTGTAATTGCATATGGACGAATTGTTTATTTATACCTTTGTGTATTGATTGTCATTGTGCAAGTTGAGTAATTATATAGCAAGTTTTCTTGTATTAATTGTGCAAAGATGTATAATAATTACACAAACTGTAAAATAATTGTCATGTTTTATAATAATTTTTGTGCTAATAGTGCATTTATGCAAGCTGTGTTTTTAATTTGTTGAAGTGGAACTGGTGCAGCTGCATTTTGGTGTGCAAATTGTGTATTTTGTGTAAGCTCTGTAATCTGAAAAAATAGATCTTAATGGTGTAAGTGTATTTTGGTTTATGAGACAATGTGTGGGTATTTTGTGAAAATTATGTATGTGGAATTGTGGAATTTTAGTGAAAGCGCATTTTTGATTGTCTAAATGCATAAGCATTTTGATATATTTGTGCAAATACCATACTTTGTGTAAATGTCATACTCTGAGCGTACATTTAATATTGCGTAAATGGTATATTTTTGTGTGCAACTGACATATTTTGTATGTAAATGTCATATTTTTTTGTGTGATGGTATATTTTGATTGTAAATAATATATTTTGTGCATAAATGACATATTTGGTGTGTAAATGCTGTATTTTCTGTGTATGGCATAAATTACATCTGATTAATGGGGGAAATGGTGGCAAAAAAACTAGGCCATTCTCTATGAATGCAAAGGCTGTGGAGTATGTGTAGGTAACTATGATTGTATTTGCGAGCGTTGGTTTAGAAACAAGTTAGCTGATTTGCGTAGCAAGACTAGGATTTTTTTTTTGAGGTGTAGAAATGATTAGCCTATGAATATAGTAGCTAGCATCCAGCTGAGTTGCTAGATGGATGAATTGAGGGGCGACATTTGGATAGCTATTTGATGGATGTGAGGACAGTTGACTAGCCTATCAACACAGCTACTAATCCGCTGCGCTGCCAGATGTGTAGTAGCTACTTGTGGATTATAGTACGATATCTAGCTATAGGGTTTCATAATTGCTGTTGTGTATAAAACTAGAATGACAGCTATTTATTAAAACTATTATTGTAAACTAATACTTTAAGTGGGATCCCTTGGTTGTTATAAGCATCGGGTGGACATAAATATGAATGAGATTGGGTGGAGATATATAGGAGCTGCCTCGTATGGGCCAATAGGACTTCTGCAGTTACCTTTATTCATATGTTCAGCTCACCTACAATGCTGCCAGATGTACGATTCTACAAAAATTGCGGTATGCCATTTGGGTTGCTGTTATACTTTTGCACTTATCACCGAATAATGATTACAGTTGTGGATAATAAAAATGTATATTCTTAAACCTCTGATTAGGTTAGGTGGGGATGGATAGTCTAGTCATTTTTTAATAATAATATCAAATTCACATGCTAGTAGGACGCTAAAGGTTGCATTGGTTATCTGGTGACGTCACACATAGTTGACCAGTCAGGTGCTGTGATACCTTGACACTTATATACTAATGGCCATCAATACCTTATCCCTATACCTGATGTCGCTTTTCGCGACGTCGATAAACATCAACAACAACTGGTATGTAGAATATATTTGTTTGTTATATATAATAAGTTAGGTTAGGTTCCAAAGGATACCTGATCAACCAGGCTGTGACTCATACGTCAGGCTGCGAGCAGCCGCGTTCAACAGCCTGGTTGATCAGTCCGGCAACCAGGAGGCCTCGTCGACGGCCGGGCCGCGGGGACGCTAAGCCCCGGAAGCACCTCAAGGTAACCTCAAGGTAAGGCAAGGTAGGTTGGTTTGATAGGGTTTATGAATAACGGAAAATATGAGCGAAAATACGAGCCAATGTAGCTGAATATCGACTCTGATGAAGCACAGAGTATAGGTGAGGTATTAAGCCTGATTAAGAGTTCGCACTTATGTGTGAACCTCCTGGGATCCGCATTTAGCGCGTTGGCTGGAAGCTCATTGGGGGCTTACAGAGCATTAGGGATGATGACGTCAGAAAAGAAGACAACTGCAGAAGGCTTTATTTAAAAAACATGAGAGGTTTGCTTTTACTGAATGAATATTTTGATTTGTTATATGCTACAGTAAGGTGTGGGAGGTACGTTTTGAGCGAATGTGAGACGTGTATACGGTTAGGGACAATATTGGATTACTACTGAACTTGCATTGAAATTGCCAATGCCCAGGGCCCGGTTTTCATATAAATGACTGACAGCGATTTTTATTTTGCCCTATGAGAAATAAACGATCCTTCAAGAAAGATTGTCAAAGATTAAATTACATTCTCTAGAAAGACGAAGAAGAAGAAATAGGGGTGATATGATAGAGGTGTGACTGAATGGTAAGGGGATATTAATATCCTATTAAACGTATCAACATGAAACAGAACAGGAATGAATTGGATAAGTTTTACATTTAGGAAAAAAGACCTGGGCAAATACTGATTCAGTTGCAGGGATGAATGCTGAGATACATGGTAGTTCATGCTCTGTGTTGCACCCCCTTTGATACATGTAATGGGCGATGGTTGGAAGTAAATATGAAATTTAAAATAGACTAGGGATGATGGTATTTTCCATTAGGTTTAAGGGTCACTGTTGTAACGCAAAACACACGACTCACAGGCCGGCTTTTTAATCCCCTTGATCGTGCGATCGTGCCTGTGCAGGAACGCTGAGCGGCTAACTGGTGACGTCATTGACCATTGGTGATGCCTGTGCAAGGGTCGCTGAGGTAACATAAAACACACGAGACAGGGACCGGCAATGTAATCCCCTTGAGCTAAATGGCAGGGGCCATAGACCGGCATGGTGAAAAAATTCGAGAAAACCCAGGGGCCATAGACCGGCATGGTGAAAAAATTCGAGAAAACCAAGGGGCCATAGACCGGCATGGTGAAAAAAAAATCGAGAAAATCCAGGGGCCATAGACCGGCATTTTAATCCTCTTGAACGTACCTGTGCATGGTCACTGAGCGGACAGCTGGTGACGCCATTGACCATTAGTGATGCCTGTGCATGGGTCACTGGGGTAACGAAATTTGGGTATGCCAGGGCCCTGCATTTTAATCCTACCCCCAGGCAAATTGAAGACTGGCTACTCGATGACGTCACTGGCCATTGGCTATGCCTGTGCATGGGTCACTGGAGTAACGAAAAACAGGTACGCCAAGTCGTGTCCCTCGAAAAAAGCAAAACTGACACGACTTGGCGTACTTTATACTACTCCTCTCAGCTACACCCCCCCAGACCCTCTCAGCTACTCCACCCCAGACCCTCTCAGCTACACCACCCCAGACCCTCTCAGCTACTCCACCCCAGACCCTCTCAGCTACACCACCCCAGACCCTCTCAGCTACTCCACCCCAGACCCTCTCAGCTACACCACCCCAGACCCTCTCAGCTACACCACCCCAGACCCTCTCAGCTACTCCACCCCAGACCCTCTCAGCTACACCACCCCAGACCCTCTCAGCTACACCACCCCAGACCATCTCAGCTACTCCACCCCAGACCCTCTCAGCTACACCACCCCAGACCCTCTCAGCCACTCCATCCCAGACCCTCTCAGCTACACCACCCCAGACCCTCTCAGCTACTCCACCCCAGACCCTCTCAGCTACACCACCCCAGACCCTCTCAGCTACTCCACCCCAGACCCTCTCAGCTACACCACCCCAGACCCTCTCAGCTACACCACCCCAGACCCTCTCAGCTACTCCACCCCAGACCCTCTCAGCTACACCACCCCAGACCCTCTCAGCTACTCCACCCCAGACCCTCTCAGCTACACCACCCCAGACCCTCTCAGCTACACCACCCCAGACCCTCTCAGCTACTCCACCCCAGACCCTCTCAGCTACACCACCCCAGACCCTCTCAGCTACACCACCCCAGAGCGTCTCAGCTACTCCACCCCAGACCCTCTCAGCTACACCACCCCAGACCCTCTCAGCCACTCCACCCCAGACCCTCTTAGCTACACCACCCCAGACCCCTCTCAGCTACACCACCCCAGACCCTTTCAGCTACACCACCCCAGACCCTCTCAGCTACACCACCCCAGACCCTCTCAGCTACTCCACCCCAGACCCTCTCAGCTACACCACCCCAGACCCTCTCAGCTACACCACCCCAGACCCTCTCAGCTACTCCACCCCAGACCCTCTCAGCTACACCACCCCAGACCCTCTCAGCTACACCACCCCAGACCTTCTCAGCTACTCCACCCCAGACCCTCTCAGCTACACCACCCCAGACCCTCTCAGCCACTCCACCCCAGACCCTCTTAGCTACACCACCCCAGACCCCTCTCAGCTACACCACCCCAGACCCTTTCAGCTACACCACCCCAGACCCTCTCAGCTACACCACCCCAGACCCTCTCAGCTACACCACCCCAGACCCTCTCAGCTACACCACCCCAGACCCTCTCAGCTACACCACCCCAGACCCTCTCAGCCACTCCATCCCAGACCCTCTCAGCTACACCACCCCAGAGCCTCTCAGCTACTCCACCCCAGACCCTCTCAGCTACTCCACCCCAGACCCTCTCAGCTACTCCACCCCAGACCCTCTCAGCTACACCACCCCAGACCCTTTCAGTTACACCACCCCAGACCCTCTCAGCTACACCACCCCAGACCCTCTCATCTACACCACCCCAGACTCTCTCAGCTACACCATCCCAGACCCTCTCAGCTACACCATCCCAGACCCTCTCAGCTACATCACCCCAGACCCTCTCAGCTACACCACCCCAGACTCTCTCAGCTACACCACCCCAGACCCTCTCAGCTACATCACCCCAGACCCTCTCAGCTACACCACCCAGACTCTCTCAGCTACACCACCCCAGACCCTCTCAGCTACATCACCCCAGACTCTCTCAGCTACACCACCCCAGACCCTCTCAGCTACACCATCCCAGACCCTCTCAGCTACATCACCCCAGACCCTCTCAGCTACACCACCCCAGACTCTCTCAGCTACACCACCCCAGACCCTCTCAGCTACATCACCCCAGACCCTCTCAGCTACACCACCCAGACTCTCTCAGCTACACCATCCCAGACCCCTCTCAGCTACACCATCCCAGACCCCTCTCAGCTACACCATCCCAGACCCTCTCAGCTACACCACCCCAGACCCTCTCAGCTACACCACCCCAGACCCTCTTAGGTTCCCCATACCAGATCCTCCCAGCCCCCACTCACCCCAGATCCCCAAGGTCCTCCTTCCTAGGCCCCCTCCCACCCCACACACACACCTGTCGTTCCCCTACTCCATTGGAATCAACAGAAACTGTGGATAAAAAGAAGAGTCAGTTTTAAGATAATGTACTCGAATATTGATAGGATTGTAAGCAAGGCAAGTGAACTTATGGAAATAGCACAAGAAGGGAACCCGGATGTAATTGGACTCATGGAAAGAAAACTCTCAGAAATCGTAACGGATGCGCTGTTTCCCTAGGACTACACTGTAAGACTAAGAGGGAAGGTACGGGAGGAGGCAGAGTGGCCCTACTGATAAGAAAGGAATGGAGTTTCAAGGAAACGGTTATCCCAGGCTGTGAGGGCTTCAGAGAATAAATTGCAGGCACCATGACAAAAGGAGGACCAAGAGAAGTTACAGCAGTGATATATAACCATCCACCAAACGACAGAAGACCCATGCAAGAGTATGACAGAAACAACATCGCAGTTAACACTATAGTTGAGAGAGCAGCCGCTGCTGCCTGTAGAAATAGATCCTATCTGCTCATCATGGGTGACTGCAATCACGGAAGGATAGACTGGGAGAACAAAGAGCCACACGGAGGTGAGGAAACCTGGAGAGCTAAACTGTTGGAAGTGGCGACATGGAAACGTTTTAAGTCAGCATGTCAGGGGACCCACAAGAATGAGAGGCAATGATGAACTAGCGAGACTTGACTTAGTCTTTACAGTGAATGACCCCAAAATAAGGAAAATTGATTTCGGTACCCCCGCGGGAATAAGCGATCACAGTGTATTGATGTTTGAGTATCTGGTCGAAGAAGAATTAATGTTCCCAGGGGATTGCCCTGAAAACAAAATGATGGCATTCTAAAAGAAAAACTATGAGGAGATAAGAAAATTCCTAACAGATATAACTTTGGAAACAGAGCTCAGAGGAACGATGACCCAAGGCATGATGGACTACATCACAGAAGTGTAAATAGGCAACGGACAATCTAGTCCCAGTATAAATGGAAAAAAATGAAATGCAGACGAGAAACCCATGGTTTAATCAGAGATGTAAACTAGCAAAGTAACTAAGTATAAGGGCGTGGAGAAACTATAGAAATAATAGGACACACGTGAGCAGAGAAAGATACCAGAGTGCCAGAAATGAATACTTGAGGATGAGAAGAGAGGCAGAAAGACAATATGAAAATGATATAGCAAGCAAGGCGAAGACTAAACCTAAATTGCTGCATAGCCACATCAGGAGAAAAATTCCAGTGAAGGAACAGGTAATGAAACTGAGGATAGGGGCAGACAAATTCACTACAAACAACAAGGAAGTGTGAGAGGAACTCAATAAGAAATTCCAGGTCTTCGCAGTAGAGCAAAGAGATGTCCCATAGATAGGAGAGGGAGTATCTAACCAAACACTACTAGATGAGTTTGGTTATGAAAGAAGAAAGCAGAGAAGAAAAAGAAGGCTGGGCAGACTGTATATTTTTGGATTGCCAGAAAGCCTTTGACACAGTACCACATAAGAGGCTAGTGCACAAACTGGATATGCAGACTAGAGTGAAAGGGAAGGTACTCCACTGGATAGGGGAGTACCTAATGAGCAGAAGACAGAGAGTCACTGTTAGGGGATGAGGTCTCGGAGTGGCGAGGCGTCACCAGTGGAGTTCCTCAGGGATCAGTTCTTGGACCTATACTGTTCCTGATACATGTAAATGATCTCTCAGAGAGAATAGACTCGTTCCTCTCAGTGTTTGCTCATGATGCAAAAAGTAGAGGAGGATTAAGACAGAAAGATAGCATGGGGATACAAGATGATCTAAGCAAACTGAAGGAATGGTCAAACAATTGGCTACTAAAGCTCAACCCAAGTAAATGTAAGGCAATGCAACTAGGTGGAGGAAATAGGAGGCCAGACACTGCATACCGAATGGGAGATGAAGTCTTTCACGAAACGGAGAGAGAGAAAGATCTAGGAGTTGATATCACGCCAAACCTGTCTCCTGAAGAATAACATCGGCGGCGTATGGCCTATGCGAGGCTGGTTAACATCAGAACTACCTTCGGAAACCTGTGTAAGGAATTTTCAGAACCATGTATACCAAGTATGTAAGGGTCAATCCTGGAGTATGCGGCCCCAGCATGAAGCCCATACCTTGTCAAGTACAAGACGAAGCTGGAAAACGTTGAGAGGTATGCCACTAGGCTAGTCCCTGGACTAAGAGGCATGAGTTACGAGGAAAAGCTGAGAGCACCTAACGTCGTTGGAAGACAGAAGTGCCCGGGTAGACATGATCACCACATACAAAATTCTTAGGGGGAAAATTCTCAGGGTAGACAAGGATGGATTATTTAATACGGATGGAACACGCACAAAGGGATACTGGTGGAAGCTGTGTACCCAAATGAGCCACAGAGACATTAGAAATAACTTTTTCAGTGTTAGAGTAGTTAGTAAATGGAATGCACTAGCAAGTGATGTGATGTAGGATGACTCCATACACAGTTTCAAATGTAGATATGATGGAGCTTGAAAAGCTCAGGAATGTGTACACCAGTAAATAAACAAATCCACAAGGGCCGTGACGAGGGTTCGAACCTACGTCCGAGATGTTGTTTAAGATTCGCAACCTAGAACACAATGTTCCAAGCAGCACGGGCTACGGCGAGCCCGTAGTGCGTCCGAGAGCATCCAAGACGCTGCCTTAATCGACTGCGCAACATGGTAAAAGAATTGCTACCAGAAGTTCTACTGTACATTAGTAGATTGACGGTTGAGAAATGGGACCAAAGAGCCAAAGCTCAACCCCTGCAAGCACAACTAGTTGATTGCAACTTGGTGAGTACATCTAAGTGAGTGCATAGAAGCCTGTGATACAGTACCACACAGGATGTTACTATACAAACACGAGAGGCAGGCGGGAGTGAGTAAGCGGAAACACATTAACATGGGTAAGGAATTACCTAATAGACAGGAGCCAGAGAGTTACAGTGAGGGGCGAGAAGAGAGACTAGCATAGAGAGACAAGCCTTAAGGATTGTAAGAGTGTAAAGTCGAGAAAAACTTGACTTATTACGTGACTATATTATTACTGTTATTTATTAACTATAATAATAACAATAAGTTATTATTGACTTGGTTTACGTCAAGCTACGGTGCTCTGGAGGTGTGGGAGAGTTACGCGGAGCTCTTGTTAGAGAGCACCGTCTTCTCTTGTTAGGCGGTGAGAATCAACGGTCGTAAATAGCTTCTTGAATCGCGACGTAATCGCTAAGACGGCGATAACAATGAAAAGTTTCTTCATTACTTGCATAACTGCTTCGTGAATCCGGCACCAGAGTCTCAACACACATTGGGAACAACAGCTCACACGAGTGGTGTTCCTTGTGCCAGGTGTCACTTCCATGACACCTGGCACAATACACTGTCAAGTGCTGGCCGCTCCGCCTCAGCTAGAACTTTTGTCGTGTGGTGAGTGTGAGATGTCCTCCCAGAGGAACTTATAATTAGTCTTGGCCTGCTGGTGAAGGTCCCGGGAAAGACCCCACAGGAGCACACGAACACCCAGGTAGAGTCCCACTAACAATACACATATATTTACAAATTAATAAAAACATAACACAGTTAATTATTCAGTACATCAAGCAAGATTATTGCCAGAGACACATAGAAAAATAATTGGAAACATAGATTCTCTCTATATCCCTTCTCCATAGTTTATCACAACAACCCTATGATCTGCACGTTAAATGAAAATAAACTGCGGTTCATCTAGCTGTCTGGCTGAGAGTAAACACCTAAAACCGGACATTCTGGCCAACACGTCAACCCCCCTTCACCATTTTCTGGTCTAGTCACTAAGGACGCCCTCTCACTTCCGCACCTTAATACCTGATCCCCTGGTATTAATCATCCCTGATTAATCTCTAAATATTACCAGTTAACATTACTCTACCGGTAGGTCAAATAAAAAGAGTACTTTTTAAATTACAAAACATATACACACATTCTACTGGTACTCCATAATCAACACATGACTGCGGGAACTACTTTCATGGGCGGAGGGATACCATCGATTTACGGTTTGCAAGAAGTCAGCTGAATTCTGTTGCTTTCGTTGAATTATATATTACGTTAGTGTAGTTCCTGTGTAACTGATGTTGAGGCGCAGGGTGTTGACCTGCTTTACAACCACCCGGGTGCCTGCAGGTCATATGAACAACTTGGAATGGTTTCAGCAGAAGCATCCAGAATTCCTGTCGATTCAGTCGAGTCCCAGATGGTATAAATTTTTCTAGGTGAGAGTGGTACAGTGGTAGAGGTTGTGGCTCGCAGTCTCTTGGTCGCAGGTTCGAGTCACCTAAGAACTCCAGTGGATTTTCTCACTGATATATATCACATTCGTGTGATTTCTTTGTGTGTAAATGTTGAGTATTTTCTATACCTATACATTCAGGCGTGACCGGCCAGACCAAAACAAAGGGAGGTCAACCGCGAGTTTGTAACTGTAGTACTGCATAGTTACCTCTACTACTGCCTCGTTACCTCTCTACTACTGCACCGTTACCTCTATTACTGCTTCGTTACCTCTCTACTATTGCCTCGTTACCTCTATTACTGCCCGTTACCTCTACTACTACTTGTTACCTCTCTACTACTGCCTCGTTACCTCTCTACTACTGACTCGTTACCTCTACTACTGTCTCGTTACCTCTACTACGGTCTCGTTACCTCTCAACTACTGCCTCGTTACCTCTACTATTGCCTCGTTACCTCTACTACTGCCTCGTTACCTCTCTACTATCACCTCGTTACCTATCTACTACTGCCTCGTTACCTCTCTCCTACGGCCTCGGTACCTCTCTACTACTGCCTCGTTACCTCTCTGTTGCTGTCTCGTTGCCTCTCTACTACCACCTCGTTACCTCTCTACTACTGCCTCGTTACATCTCTGCTTCTGC